CATACATACATACATACCCCACCAACACACACACACATACATACATATACATCCCCCACACACACACTTATACGACCCGATTTATATTCTTACCAGAAACGATGGAAGCCACTATATAATATAATAATAAAACTCTTTCACCCGATAGCCCACCCCCAAATCAATACGTTATACTTTAGAGCGCTTTGAATTTTGATAAACTTTAATTTTTCACAAACAATATAATTATCCTTCCTCATCTTTCTCGTCTGCCCAGATTCCCGCGTCCAGTTTTGTCATGGCCCGTTTTTGTGGCAAAGCAAATCCTGGGGAAACGTATCCCCCGGAGACCCCCGAGTCTTTGATCTAAGATAACAGCTTTCAATGCTTTTTTACTCAGAATTAGATTTGTCCTTTGTGTGCACAACAGAGGTTGAATGGACTTCCATTAAGTCGGAAATCCCATGCGAGCCGAGAATAAAGGGAGACAAATCAAAGCAAAACGTTGTCCTGACGACAGTTAGTTGACTGCGCTCTGGTTCCCGTCAACGCGAGCTCCGCTACAACAGAGCATAAAGACTCGCTGCTGATGGCCTGGACAACAAGAGATGAAGCTTGTTTTGTTTTTTTGGTGTTGTTTTTTTTTTTTAGTTTCTGTTTAAATCTCTGTTATTAGAAGCATGAACTTGGCACCCGCTGACCCCTTTCACCGTGGAAGGAGACCAAATAAAATTTTACCGCTTCATTTGCTGGCAGAATGCGAAGATTTCACGGGACAAAATGTTTTGTGAAATGCTTCAAAGGTGAAACACATAATTTTATTCTAAGCGTTGCACCAAAAACCTTTCGCTTTAGAGGGAAATTTACCAGTTCATTGGGTTTGAGATTAGAAGTTACGGGGCTACAATGCAGCCAACGTCACAGGGTGGCTAAAGGATGAATGGAGAATTCTAAGTAATTGTTTTGATAAAACAGAGTGAGAATTTAAGGTGTCTTTAGTGCCAATTATGTGAGGAGTGGGTAGGTTCTGTTAAGTTCGTTTTACCGTTTTTAACGAGCGACAGGAATTGACTTTAAATCTTAATGCTTATCGTTTGATTTCGGTCTTATTGTAGCCTCGTCTGACATTTTTCGAGATGTACTATCTCTTTCTCTCTCTCTCTCTCTCTCTCTCTCTCTCT